TAATTATGAAAAAGCCTGAGATTTTTATTGCAAAATACTCACAAAAGCCAAAGAACACTTATGACAGGATTATATTGGAATATGAAATGGAATCATTTTGTCACCTACCTTCTTCCACGTCTAGTATGAACATGCTAACATGCGTAATTTGACTAACCTAACCCCTTGATGTCTGGCCATTTTTAGCAAGATTCACATATGTCAGTTCCTCAGTATGGATTCCTAGAAATGATTGCTAGATCAAAAGGTAGACACCGTTCAAAGATGGCTGACTGCCAAACTATCCTCCAAAAATAACACAGCAGATCATACTTGCAGTACTGAAGGCATCATTTTCTCAAAATTGAATTGTGATGTGCGTGTGGAAGGAGCTACTTTGAAGACATACTGTAAAGAAAAGTAGCCTGGTGACTTTTTTTTTTTTAGCAAGTTAGAAAACATCCTCACATTATTCCTCAAAATATTTGGAATGCCAATTCATGAGTAGAAATTAATCCAAAACACACATGGGTGGTGCCTTTCTCCAGACTATGCATTAGGCAAGAGTAATCCTTCCAGACTAGTCAAAACCTTAGGACTCAACCAACTAGCCTTTCCCTTTTACTGCTTCTAAAATCACTAACTATGCTACCAAAAGGATGTTCTCATTTTAGACAACAAATGTATTTCAGATACATTTGAATGCAGCTAGAATATGTTATGTGTGTGTGCCATTGAGTCACCTGTGACTCACAGCGACCCTATGTACAACAGCTCTGAACCCTGCTCTATTCTGAGCCAATCTTATTGTCTTCAACACACCTATCCCCATTACCCCAGTCACTGAGTCAATCTATCTCATCGAGGGTATTCCCCTCCTGCACTGTCCCTCCACCCTCCCAAGCATGACATCCCTCTCCAAGGACTGATCCCTCCCCTTGCAACATGTCCAAAGTATGTCTGATGGAGCTTCAGAATCCTTGCCTCCAAGGAGCAGCCTGGTTTCACTCTGTTTGTTCTCTTAGCATTAGCAGCATGCTTTTGTATCCATTCCAATAAATTGTAGTTGACCTTTGCCCTCTGGTCAGAACCAACTCACAGGTGACCAGGTTGTCAGAGGCAGTAAGTTGTGTAGGAGACTCTCCATCATTCTCCCTCCGAGAAACTAGGTGGTTCAAACCACGTTTTGGCTGGCAGCACAGATCCTTACCACTAGGCCACCAGAACACCCTATACCCCAGTAAGGGAGGGTTCCGATTTAACATTTGTTATGATCTAAACACCGAGGAAGACAAGGGACAATCTTGGTTGAGCATCTGCCATGGGGCTAATGCTCAAGGTATGTTAACACACAGATAAGGACATCAAGGTTAGGTCTGCACACTCCTCTTGATTTCTTAGGCCCAGAGGTGAAGGGAGAAATCAGATGGTCAAATTTTGTCTTAATAAGAACCCCATGGTCACACATTTGTGCTCCCCCGTGATACTTACACAATCTTCCTGCTATCAGGGTAACCTGCTCCCTGACATAACGAGACCCCTGCAAGAAATAAAACAACTCTTAACCAGCAACGTTCATCTTATAAAAATGTACCAGTTGGGAACAGAAAAAAGGTCTCAAAACAGGATATACAGCAGATGATAGCATCTTGACCATAAAGGGCCCCATTTCTCAAGACTTTCCACTAAAGTAGTCATAACAGCAGAAGACAATAGTTATGTGGGGTTGAGAGGATTTGTTTGGAGAGGAATATGGGACCATAGCCCAAAGCAGTTTTACAATGTTCTTTAGTTTAAAAATTCATACATTGTTTTATACCTGAATGCTTTCCCAAACACTGCCACTTCCCCAATTCTCGAAGTACAATTCAAGGTTGAAAAAGACATGTTGATTTATCCTGAGATTACACACAAATTGAGCAGCAGAGGATTCCATTTCCCCAGTTATTGAACAGACTGGAAGCTTTACTGTCTGAACTCTAGTAGCAAGGATTGGGCATCTTCACCTTTTCCTGGGATAGTCAAATCTTCTTCCACCTTTAAATTCACTGCCTTCCCATGCTCTTTCTGAGATCTTCCATCTGGTTCTTTTCAACCAGGAGTGTGCCTTTTTCTGCCTCAACTTTTTTTATTGCATATAACTGCTTTTCTCCAACTAACCTAAAGAAAAGCTACAGCTGTTTTCTAGTAAATTCTTTTAAGTGTTTTAATACTTTTTCAGACCTTTCTGAATCATGTGCTTGGGAGGCACAAGAGAGAGAGACAGAGATAGAGACAGAGAGCTATAGAGAAACAGAGAGAGGAAGGCAGAGAGGAAGACAGAAAGCGAGGGAGATGATCAGAAAAGAGTGTGTATGTGTGTGACAAACACTCTCAGAGTCAAGTCAGTCACCAACATCCAGCAGCAAGTGACTCAGTATCTCAAACACGGCACGTCTTTAAACTAGAACGGCCAGGAACCTACAGTGGTTTTTGGAAACCTGCACTGTACAGTTTATCCTTACAACAAGTTTAGATGGTACAGTGCTTTAAGGTTTATAAAAAGCTTTTGCTTTCGTGGCAGGAGATGGCTTAAATAAATAGATTAATCACAAAAAAAAAAAAAAGCGCTTTTGCTTAATGACCTCAATTTTTATTTTCAAGTTTCACAACATCTCTCTGAAGCAGTCGTCCATCTGCCATTACTCCCATTTCACATATAAATAGGGCATTTGGAGGTTAAGTGACGACTAGTCCGAAAGGGCACCTGAGCAAGGATGCAAACCTCAACTACAAGACTTTTTCCACTGTCCCACTAGTCTATTTGGAGAAAATGTTTCTCAGCTCTTTTCAGGATTCCCAGTTGAAAAGTGTTTAAGAGTCTACTATGAGCTGACACTGTGCTAGGAGCCTCTCACCACTCTTAGGATAAAGTCCAAAATATTGACAATGCTCTGTCAGGCTTCCTTTCTCATTTCTAGGTCCAGCCAAGGTTGAAAACCTTTGCAGAAGCAATCCGCTTTGTTTGGAATAGTGCTCTCTTGGCTAACTTCTATGTATTCTGAGCTCCAGTATAAATGCCGCTCTTTCAGGAACGCCTGTACTTTCGCAGACATCCCCAGCCTATCCTATCTTCCCCAAATGGGTCACACTCATCCACCCTCTTAACTATGGCACCGTTACAATTAATCACAATGTGATTATGCCTTTATTTGTGCATAAACAAAAGTTATACTATCTTTCCAGCTAGCCCATAAGGTCCAGGTGGACAGAGGCCATCTATATCCCTGTTACCTAGTAACAATGCCTGCATTAGGTAAGCATTTAAATGATCCGTGACATGAGTCAACGGTAAGAAGGCAGCAAAGAGTTCATGTTTGGTGCCAGTCAGATCTGGCTGAGTGACCTTTCACAAACTGAGTAACCTCTCTGAGCCTGCAGGTATGCATTTGACTTGTAAAATAGAGCGCTCTCTCTCCCCTGTGATGATTAACTGAAAATGCAAAGAAAAACACTCAAGAACAGTGCTTGGCACACAGAAGCCCATAGTAAGACCAACCCACTCAACTGTTTACACCAGGCAACCAGGCATGTAATACAAAAATAAACCAAATAAAACACATTGCTAATGATTTTTTTAAAAAAATCACTAGCACAAAATCTAAACTCCTTCAAAGTCTTGTCTCTACACCTTTCCTCTACTGCACCAGTCACCTTTAGCCAAAATGCACCAGTCAATTACCTTTTTTCTAGTTCCTAAACACTGCCAAGTCTCCCTCCCACTGCACCCCAGGGATCTGAAACAAGCTGTTGTTCCTTTCTCCTGCTGGTCCTGTCATTCTCCAGGTCACGACTCTAATGTTACCCATTCAGGACTTCTTTCTCGGTGCACCCTTGTTTCCTTCCTTCTGAGCACTTCACAAGATTTGTGACTATTCCAATGTCTAGCACTTTGCACTGTCCTCCATCCCATCCCCATAGACTGTAAACTCCATGAGGGCAAGAGCTATTCATTCCTGTACGCCTAGGGCCCAGCACAGTTCACTTAGGTAGCCCGAGTTAGGGCCTCAGGCACTGAGTGACAGGTGCTACTGTTAAACAGCACGGATGGGTTAAGCTGTCTTAACTCGGGTTGTTGTTTTGCGCCTAGGTGAACAGATCAGTCTTTGAACACGATGCCGAGAAACACTGCCACCCCGACTTTCCACACATGCTGCTCTGCCCAGGAGGAGAGTACTGTAAGTGACGGCCAGGGCAAGGGCAGAACTTACCAGGCAGGGAACGTCTCCCTAGAGGGCAGTTCCCCTGTTGAGAAAGAAGACATTATCGACGTCACCCAGGATGAAAGGAGGGGGGTAAAAATACCTTCATGCCATAGAGTCGACTGGGACTCACAGCGACCCTCCAGGACGGAGTAGAACCGCCTCATGGGGTTTCCAATGCTGTGATCTCTGAGGAAGCAGACTGCAACATCTTTCTCCCCCGGAACCGCCAACCTTTCATTTAGCAGCCAAGTGCTTAACCGCTGCGCCACCAGGGCCCCCAGCTTTTCTCTTAAGGACAGACCCAATGCAGTTAGCCGAGTGCTGGTGACAGGTGAATCTCGTGACCCTGGGTCATGCAATGCACGGGGGGGGGG